ATGCACATAAATTGACACGCCTACACTGTCAGTAGCCATACAGTTTGCACATTGGTTTTTCGATTCATACCTCAATGAACCGAAAAAAATACACAGTCAATCCTTAAAACATCTGCTGAGTAGCGCATCTTGTCATTGAATGAACACGGTCACTGTGTAGCACGTGCAGACCGTGCTTGCGCTGTTCCTTCCACGGTTTGTCCCCCTACGTGTCATGTACACATTTCTATACAAAATTACATGATAGTTTCTTAAAGAACTTCATCCGTCATGGGTCTTAAATTAAACAAAATTCAGATTTTGTTGGGTACAGGGCAGGGGTCCGGAAACCGTCATATGCGCCGGACATGTCCGATTGGGAATCTCAAATGTCCGTTTTAAAATATTGCTTACCGGACATTTTAAAAAGTATTGTCCGGACATTCTTAAATTTTGACCGGACATGATCAACAGTTAGGACTGAGCAGTTTCTGTCTGCAGTTGCAACACAATGAAGATTAACTACACTGACAAGCTTTGTTTGTTTTGATTGCTGTAAATACATCGTACCTACATGATAGTCCAATCGGTCAATCACTGTAATAGGCAATAAACTGAGTTGACACTGATTAATCGAGGATTAAACTGAGAACATCTTGTTAATTTGAGTGAAAGGTGTTTACAACTGTACATTAATACCTTGCATCATCGATGTACCTCATTATCCTCACAATGCTACGATACGTAACCTCAGACAAGAAGCGAAAGCGTGACGACAGCCAGTCGACCGATGCAGATCAGTCGAGCCGATCTGCCAAACCCTCAAAGTCTGGACGATCATTTTGTAAGTCGTGGCTAACGACTTTCACTTGGTTGACATACAATGAGGATTTGCAGATTTTATTGTTTTCAGTAGCTAGTTGTATATTGAATCTTGATTGACCACCATTTTGCTTTCTCGGACGATCGATATCCAATTTTTTTATGGTCAATAAATAAGTACAGATGAAAAAAGTATTCAAATAACTATTGCTATCAACGATATTTTACTATTTGTGATTAAATTATCTGTCTTGTTTTTAAAAAAATCTTTAGTTTAAAAAAACCATTTCCCGTGAGGTCACGTGATAACCAAATATGGGATAATAGTCTCGATCCAAATGTTACAACACGTACACTTGAGCAGACTCATGAATATAACTCATGAATATTAATTAGACCGTTCACTACGTTAACAGATCGTTATTATAAGAGAAACAAACGTATGTTTTCCATTTAAATCTAAAATGATATTATTTGTTATTAATTGTCAGGTGAATTAAACAATTTAAATTGAAACAATTCATAATTCATCATATTATAATTAAATTTTCGTTGTGTTCATTGAAATTCCTGTATTCTGATTAGCTGAATTGGTCACGTGTTATTGCATTCATTTCCCAATGAATGTAAAAAATTAAGCCACGCCCACCGAGGCGCACTACTTTTATTACCGGAATGTCGGGGAATCCCAATATCAAAGCCGAGGGATTCCCTTTCTGCTCACGTGTATCGTCATGCACAGGACATTTAGCGACTTTCATGCATATGCATTGTCCAAACTACCCATTGAAACCGATGGCCGAGAATGAATGAAACAGCAAACGTGCAGGCTCGCTCGCCTGTTTTTTTCTGCTCGCCTCGGTTCAACTTTCATGTCTTCGGGTTTCCTTTCTAACTAGCATTTTTCCAACTGTGTTTTACCGTTATCAGGGAAGTAATGTTTGAATCTGGCGGTAACTGACCATGTAATTTGAAACAGCCGCCTTCTCCCGGACATATTTCTTCCAGTTCGTTACAGTCTGACTGTTGCAGTTCTTTTCGCCTCTTGTCTTAACTGACAGGTCCAATGAACATTGTTTTGATCCTGCTCTCCGTTGATTGGCTACTGACAGTGTAGGCGTGTCAATTTATGTGCATAAATTAAACAATCACCTGATTCATGTCACGCACAGTATGTATTCCTACACCTGGAATGTTTATCAATCTCGTCATTTTTGTCTGTTTTGATATACACAACTGTTTTTGGTTAAACTATTGTAGATAAAACATGTTTTATGCTGTCGAATTTAATTATAAGCATTGACTGTGTATTTTTTTCGGTTCATTGAGGTATGAATCGAAAAACCAATGTGCAAACTGTATGAATCCGCGTAGCGGATTCTTACAAAAGTTTGCACATTGGTTTTTCGATTCATACCTCAATGAACCGAAAAAAATACACAGTCAATCCTTAAATGAATACGTAAACTTGTAATGTGTGTGAAAAGTCGTACTAAAATACGCTATTTGAAGGGGGCGTGGCCTAAATGCAAATGTCCGATTGGGATTTTAAATTTTCCGGACCCCTGGTACAGGGTATTCATGGTCAAGTACCGTATTGATGTTTCATACACTTTTCTGGATTTTGAGTTATTTTGCAATTCATCGTTCTCATTTAGAGTCAAACGGACTGTAGTCAATGTAATACATTGTTTGAGTAGTTCATTGCAAGTGTATTTGGTCTGTTGAAGCCGTTTGTATATTAGTGACAGCCAGTTGAACGCGTGATAGGGGTCCAAATATGACACAGAAATGGAAAAGAACGAGTACTAAGCAGTCATCAAGTTTTACTTCAGAGTACTCCCCAAGCTTCCTCGCCCTTCATACTTGCCAGACCTGGCACCAAGTGATTTGCACCTGTTTCCTGAACTGAAAGAACACCTTCGTGGAAAGCGCTAAGATGACAACAATGACCTCAAAGCTGCCATGAATGAGTTTTTCAGAAAACTTCTCCCTGGCTGGAATTGAAAAGCTTCACTATCGATATGAGAAGTGTATTGAAAAGAAGGGGGATTATGTTGGTTTTGTTTGTTAGGCTTAAATCTTTTTGACCAGCCCTCGTATAGCCCAAGTCACATGACAAAAATAACTTGAAATACAGACATTGTTATAATGGAGATTGGCAGTTGCACAGATCCTTCAGGGTATCTGACAATACAATGAAAGTGAATAATAACAATTAGCATGCTCATTTTATTGTCATTAATGGTAATTGAGCAATTATGGACATAGGCATGTCATGGCTATATGTTAGTGGTTGTCATGAATAGGTCACTATGACAGTGCTGTGGTAGACATGGAAAATCATATTTAAGCCTCTTGATCCAATTCAGGTGTCATTCTTAAGAACAATATTTCCTCCAAACACAACTTGAAAATAATCTTAAAAAACCTGATTGACTGCTTATTGTCCTTCAGGTGGGAACAATAAAGACATTCAGTTGTATCAACTTGAAATCAACCAGAAACATATAGAACACAAATTGTCTTTCAGGAGGGACATTTCTACTAGTTGTGTATTGTCTGCCACAGTTCTAGTCAATGAATTACCAGTATATATATATATATATATATATATATATATATATATATATATATATATATATATATATATATATATATATACACACACAAAAATGAGGTAAATGTTCACTGGGTGTACATGTAATATATAATAAAATAATAAAGTCCACGTTAGTCCATCATCTTCTTTATATCAGTTTCAATCATAGTACTTTCGCTGTCTCATGACAGCTCTTCAGTGTAACTGTCATGAGACAGCCAAAGTACTATGATTGAAACTGATATAAAGAAGATGATGGACTAACGTGGACTTTATTATTTTATTATATATATATATATATAAAGCACAGTAAAGTTCTAACTCTCAGGCACAATATAGTAATAATTAAATAAGTGGAGTAAGATTGAACACAGTTTTAATAGGCTAGCACTTTCAACTCGTACCACGTACGAGTCTCATAAGGCCATAACTGAATAACGGACATGAAGTAGTAACATATAGTTACGTGACGTCATAACATTTAGGAAACTATGACGTCACAATACCAAGGTGACAATGGACAAATAACTTACGCCTTTACATTTAACTTAGGCGCGTATTTATGAATGAAATGTTGCTCTTTTTGAAACAATGTAGGTTCATGATCAAAATTTAGCTTATATAGTGGGAAAACTAAAAAGTTGCCGTTTCCACATGCTTCTAAATGTTCACTGTTATTTGTGAACGGTGAAGATTCATTCTTCTTTTTAATTTAAGTTCTGTCTTTCCGATATACTTTTCACTCCATCCACTGCAAACAATCAAGTAAATAACATTTCTAGTATCACAAGTCATAGTTTGTTTTACAGTAAATTTAGTTCCTTTGTAATTTGGACCGAACAGCCTTCACTTATATTGCTGCAAGTTAGGCAACGTTTGTCACCGCACTTAATTGAAGATAGCATACAGAAGGCGCTAAGTATTAAGCAACTCAAACTGAGAGAAAATTCTGAAGAAAACAATATGGGGAATAATTTAACTCTAGTATCTACCTTCAACCCTAATCATGAAAAGACATTATCCATGGTTCAACGATACCTGCCTATTTTGAATCAAAGTATTAAAATGGAGAAGATATTGAGCAAATACAAAATTATCAACAGCCAAAGACAACCCAAAAATCTTAGAAAGATTTTGACAAGTTCTAAATTTGATTCTGTTGTCATCACTCCACAGGTTTCTAAGTGTGGTGACAAACGTTGCCTAACTTACAGCAATATAATTGAAGGCTGTTCAGTCCAAATTACAAAGGAAACTTAATTTACTGTAAAACAAAATATGACTTGTGATACTAGAAATGTTATTTACTTGATTGTTTGCAGTGGATGCAGTGAAAAGTATATCGGAAAGACAGAACTTAATTGTCACCTTGGTATTGTGACGTCATAGTTTCCTAAATGTTATGACGTCACGTAACTATATGTTACTACTTCATGTCTGTTATTCAGTTATGGCCTGATGAGACTCATACGTGGTACGAGTTGAAAGTGCTAGCCTATTAGAACTATATATATATATATATAATCTCTCTCTCTCTCTCTCTCTCTCTCTCTCTCTCTCTCTCTCTCTCTCTCATGTTTTTTCTGATTTATTACAGAAACAGAGAAAAAGATATGGAGGGTCTTTTGACTCATCATTGCTTTCGCCCACCTTGCCTTTGTGGTGTTAGGAGCCGAGACATAGTTGTACCACCACGAGCAATTGTTAACGGTACACAAGTGGATTCAAACATTGTGGTATCAAAAGAAACCAGACAGCAGAAAGTGACTTCTGAAAAGCAACGAAGCAGCAGTCAGCAACCAACACAAAAGCACAGCCTGCATGTTTCAACTTGTGTGAAAAGAGAATCAATGAATGCAGGTGTTATAACAAAATCAACAAGACACTTAAAGAGTGGCAGACTCATGGACTGTGAGGTAAGTGCAAGAACTCTTGATAAAAGTGTACAAGCACTACCATAACCTCCTTTATTGTCTCAAAAACAACCAGTAAACAATTGTGATTCATTGGTCCTCTTAACTTGACGTAAGAGCTGTTTTCTCATTGTCAATTAGATTTGTATTTGGCGACCTGTGACAGCAGAACAATATAGATTTATGACAAAGGTCAAATGTTTACTGCAGTGCTTTGCATTGTGTTCTCTCCTCCCTATGCAGTATGCTTTGCCTACATGTTCTGTAAGGCTCCTGGCCGGGTTATCAATTCTAATTATAAAAAAACAAAACAGGAATGAAGTTTAGTTAAAAGAATATTTTATAACAGAAATAAGGTGCAAAACCTTCATGTGCTTAGTCAAAACCAACATACTTTTCCCCCTTCCCTGTTCAAACCCACATAATATTTTCTTAAACTTGATGTTGTTTCCACCCTTTAACTAAACTTCCCAAAATAAAATATTCCCAAACAAACCTATTCAATTCCTACACTATTTCTCCCCCAACTATAACTAACACTAATCTAAAAAAACATTATCCCATCTAGTGAAAAGTGAAACCCAAATGCTGGCAAAAGGCAACTGACGATTCCCTTCCCAGGGTAGGCTTATTTTGCTGACACACGGACCATATGACCAGGAAAGCGGACACAACCAATAAACACGCTCCTTACTGGTACATCTCGGCGGTCTCAATCATACGAGGAGCGTGACGTCGTTACATCTTTCCAGTCACTACATTCGCATGGGCATGAATTTCTACAGAAATGACAACAAAGATAGGTACTACGTCAGCCGCCCAAATCCCATTAAACTAACCCACCTGCTATAATTTTAAATATTTTAATTTACCCAACAAAATCCCGAGCCGACTCCAGATTTAAACTATTCTTAAAGGATTCTTAAAAAGGTTTTTACACATGCTTTATATTCGCTATTAATGAATACTTAGGTATATATGTTATACACTCAAGACAGTTTGAAACAGTAACACTTCGTTATATTGCTTGAATTAGCAATCTAAAACGGACGACCATCGCAAGCATTTGGCGATTACGTAAGATAATGAGGTAGCCAGTCACGTGATCGAGTGACGTCATACCGAACAGTTGTAGCATCAAAACACACACGTTAGCAACGGTGCCGCGCTGAATGGCTCTCGAAAATCTACTTTTATCTTCACCAATAATTCGACCCACAAGGTCAAAAATGGATACTGACATAGAAGTACAACCTTTTCAATTTGAACCTATTTCTGGCAGCAAGAACAACAGGAATACTGACAACAATTCCAGCAGTTCACAAGAAAACAGTGACGATCCCGATCTCGACGATGTTTTGAATAGGCCTCACACAGACTGGTATGCTAGTCATTTGCGTACCATATTTTCAGGAAAACAGATTAACTATGGAATCAATCTTTCAGCTGTCACAGTAAAATGTGTAGTCACAATTACCGCAATGTTAGACCAATAATAATATGCAAATCCATGCCTATATATGGGACAGTAAATGCTCAAATCGCGAGTTACAAGTAAATCATTTTAATATAATATTTAAGACTTATAACACTTCTTCTGACGAAATATACCCAAGAGAAGGATCGAATATGGGGATCAACCTTTCTGTGAAATACCATTACGTATGTCAGTCAATACACGTACACTAGCACAGTACCCTAAATTCGTAAGTGTAACATTATCAATGTTGCCGTTGCATCAAAGTTCAATTTTATAACATATTCAATTTCATGGGACGTCTAGCTGTCAGTAAGCTGTTGTGATACTTATTTTGGAATATAAATTTTCGAAAATGGGATACATAAAATGTTAAATAATTATGAATTTTTATAGTGTAAATTTTCAAAATGTGCCATAAATAAGAAATATGTGAAATGCTATTATTTTAAAGGAACTGTACCATAAGGAAATTGATAGGTTTGCATTTATTTATGTACTATTAGCTATATCACCGTGATAGGTGTGACTGTGGCAACTGTATGCCTCTGTCATCCCAAACTGTGTCGAAATGTTGCCACTTTTTGCTGGGGCGAGAGAGAAAATGGAAGAAGGAGCTGAACCTTTGTGTTGCATCACTCAACATGAAGGATTCTCAGTAAATTTCACCAACATACACGTCCTACAGTTGGCTCTCCTTGAATTTGTGAGCTTGGCTGGCTGGCCCACTAGACGATAACGAACCAATTCATAAGTATGTTCCTTCTTAACCGCTGATAATAACTATAGTGAATGTAGCTGCATTGATTAAAATTGACATATCCTTATCATTGTAATCCATCAAATATTCTCCTAAACTGTCAGCAAGTGAAGAAGAAAAATTCTTCAATGCCTTACAGTAATCATGGTAATACTTGTATATAACATGAATAAAGTGTGATCAGTTCCAAAGAAAGACCTGCAATCAAATTAAGGAACAACTAGCACAAAACTGAAGGTGTAAATAATTTATTTGCATACTATTTTTTAACATACTGTTACAAAAGTGATAATTTAATACAATGTCTGGACTAACATCACAAAGACATGTTGGAATAATAACAGAAATGAAGTAGCAATGAATTATGTTTGTCTGTTTATGTTCAGACTACCTTAAAAGGAAAGATTAACAAACAATGATGTTTTGTGGGATATAATGGGCAGAGTGTGGATGATGCAGGTCGGGGTGATAAGCAAGGTCCTACCGCTGACTAGAAATCGCATACAGACCCTATCGCAGGTCAAGTTGTCCCTCCACCATGCTTGGGAGACAGGACCCACAGGAAAGATACTGTCACTCCCCCAGTGAAAACAGAGGGCAGAAGAATTTGGGCTCCGCTGTAGTTAGCAGGCAGCCAGAGTATTGTACACACACCAGCATGGTGTTAAACTAAAGCCCCCGACTGCACCATGCCAAACAGCTGGGTGCAAAATGTATAAATACATTTTGAACACTGCTGACATCCAAACATTTTATTATATTTGGATTAAGTAGTATAGGTAATGATGGTTCTGGCTCTCTTCCACTGGAGTCAGATTTATATACCTATACTGCTACTACAGAGGGAATTTTTTATGTCAAAATGATGATGTGATTCAACGATCGTCATGAGTGGTATTAAAAGAATCATCAATATTAATTAAGAATGAATAAAATTTACTTTAGCCCACGAGGATATTGGAAAGGTATATGAGCAATTCAAAAATTAGCCACTGCGGCTAAGGTATCTAAAGATGTGGCCAAGGATTGGCTAAAGAAACAAGCGATGTGGCAAATATACTTACCGGCACCGCGTTTTATACAGAGGAAGAAGTTTGATATTTTTGCAACGAATGAAGTTCATCAGGCTGACCTCTTGTTTCTTCCCCATGATAAGGTAAGCACAAAACGTATAAATATGCTTTAACCGTAGTGGATGTGGCTAGTCGATACAAAGAGGCTGAGCCATTAACCTCGAAAGGTTCAACAGAAGCAGCTAATGCACTGAGCCGCATATATAAACGCGGACCACTAAAATGGCCCAAGCTATTTCAAGTAGATCCTGGTCGCGAGTTTATGGGATCAGTAACTAAACTGTTAACAAAGCACGATGTCGAAATCAGGCATGGTGAAAAAGAGGCCTACCGTAATCAAGCTATTGTTGAAAGATTTAACCGGACATTAGCGGAACATTTGTTTGGCTATCAGTATGGGATCGAAATGAAATCGGAACGATTGAGATCAACCAATGGGTGACACGATTATCAGCTGTTGTATCAGATTAATCGGGAAGAAACCATCCAATGCAATTAAAATGAAATTCGTGACCTCCGAATCTTCAGCACCGCGGAGAGGCAAAGAACAAAAACTTCTGGATAGTGTAAGCTTAAGATATTTATACCAGCCCGGTGAACTCGAAGGAGGTCTACGTCACGCAACGGATCCGATTTGGTCCCTAAAGATATATAACATTAGTCAATTGGTTATGAAAGAAGGAGAGCCTATTCTTCATTATCTTAAAGATGGACAGGGCAGGGCAGGGCATTTGTACGAGAAGAGTTGCTCATAGTTCCCAACGATACAGTATTACCAACATAACCATAAGCATAGGTAGTTACACCATCCTTATCAATCCATCTCTTTGTATCTAAGGGGGATAATGATGTCTTGTTCATTCTTAATCCATATATTCTATGATTGTAACTTCTTAAAGAGTTCATCTTGTGTTTGAATGTTCTACCATTGAATAATGCTTCTTTATACTGTTCGTGTTTGATATGCTTTTTTACCACATACTTCTTAACGCCTTTAGCTTTTCTTATCTCTCCGTTATCAGACTTCTTTATAGAATACATCTTAGGTCTTAATCCGACATACTCAGCAATAGGGGTCCCAGCACATTCATCCTTCATCTTACCTAACACCTTTTTATTTACTACGCTGTGCAGTGGATTATCTTTTGGGTAATTGCTCGTGTCGTACATATCAATTTTTTCTGCCATATCTTTATACACATCCTCGGTTTGTATTTCCATCAACAAAGAATCTGTGTCGGTATATAACACCTCGCATCTATCACCGTATTGCTTCTTAACTTCGTTATAATAAAAGTCATACAGTAAGTGTTTTGACAAGTCAAGAATACTCGTACCAACGTACACTGGTCTGTTGAATTTTATATTACTCTTCTGCATATGCAACGCGGCTAAGTCGTTATCGAATATCTTGCTTCTGTTAAAAGCCGGACTGGCTATAAGTTTCTTGAGTCTTTCTTCCTCATTAGACCTGACTAATTTAACATCAACACGCTTCCTTAGATTCTCCATAGTTTACCATAGATTACCAAATACTGAGATATTCATGAGCTTATATAGGTTCTTTTCGAAATCGCTGGTAGCCATCTTTCTTAAATCTGTCTTATATAGGGCTCCATCCAAGGGATCAAACTTTAGAACTCTGTGTATTTTCTTTAGTTTCATACCTAATAATAGATATAACTGGAGATTT